AACACAGTATTAGTGGTAATTACTATTTTAATAACATGTGAAGGGGCCTTTCTTCCTAACTGTCAAGTGTGTTAACATGTTTCTCACAGAGAATAATGAATCAAGCAGTGGGAAAACAACAAAAATCCAATCAAGACAGAAAGGCTGTTTATTCATTAGGAAGCGTGTGGGAAATAATTGTAATGGGTTTAAAAATTTCAGAAACAAGTTTCGTAACTGCTTGTAGGTTTTAATTTTGCTTACTGTATTTTCTTATTTATGTTTTATCTTAACTTATTGTTTTTTAATTTGAACAAAACTTCCAAATTTTTCTTGATACAATATGGAGGATCCTCAGAAAATCCCTATATTTAAGAGGAAAGCCAACTCACCTTTTCACAAATGAAACAAAACCAAATAATTGCAGACTGTCAGAAATTAGAGATTTTAAAAACTGTATGTTGCAATTTAAACACTTTGCTGTAGACTGAATATATCAGTGACTGTACCTGGATGCTGCTGGAGATATCACTGGTTAATGCAACATGCAAGACTATCAACGGCTCTCCTGGGATTGCACAGTGAGAAAAAAAGTAGCATCTTCTATATGACCCCACTCGACGCTTCATATCAACCCAGTTTCTAACAGGATGCACGGCTTCAGAACTCAATGAAGAAAAAGAAACATTTGTTGTTTCATTCAAAGAATGCAGTCGCCAGTCCTACAAACTCAGTACTTTTGGCATTGAGATCAGTAACAAAACTCCCAGATTAAAAAAGGAGAATCGGGCTGCGATTCAAAAATGTAAAATCCATCATCAAGTTGTGACAGAGCCAATTGTAAAGGCCTACTGCATAGCAGACCTGTGGTTTTCTTTGGGATATACTCATTATGAAATCTCACTTACACCTTCTGCTTACTGTAGGATACCCAACTCAGATGATTAAGCCACTGAATGAGTCTGCACACGCCTCTAAGGAACTAGTTTTCCCAAACTACATAGCAGAGATAACATGATCATCTTTGTAAAATATCTCAACGTTTTCATAGGAAAGTGAGAAAAAGATTTCCAATCATAACATTATCTACTAAGCATCCTTAAAAGTTTAGGCTGGTGTACACCTTAAAGCATTTCTGCTTTTCTACTTCAGCCCATTCTGAAACATATCTGCCACCAATGCACACACACGCACTAATAGTGTAACCTGATTTTAAAGTACTCAAATAATAGTTTGGAATATTTTGTGCACTGTTATTTCACAGGTCCGTGTTACGTACTGTGCAGATACAAGGATGTGACATCTTGTACTTCAGTAACTTTCACTAATCTAGCCAAATGCTTTGGTACATCATCATCAACACTGCCTATGCTTAGTTGAATTCCTGCTAGCACTCTCACAGTCACATCTTCAAGCAAGCATTCAAAATATTCTTTCCCTATTACATCTGAAAGTCTGGAATGTTTGCCAAAACACCCAAAAAATTAAATATTACCAATTCTTTTTATTTTAAAGTTCAGCTTGTGTAAGATCTCTTTTCTTTGCCTCATTCACATTTAAGACATGTACTTTCACAACTTTCTTTACAGATTCGTTTTTCAAGCTTTTCATATAACAAAGCACCACACAATTTAATTTTTATTCAACAACCTTCAACTTCGTCACTATAATTTTGAGTATTTGACAGAAAGTCAAAAAATAAACGTTGTAGATTTAAAGGAATGCTTATTTAAAAACAAAAGACAAACAAAACAAAACCACCGTGCTCCCTGCACATAGAGTTTACACAATTTCTGCACACCTCACCAGTTCCAACCAGGAAAGGAAGCCTCACTACCTGAGGAGTAAAACATGTTCTTGAATTTTGGCACTCCATCACATTTAAACACTTATTCTCCTCCAACACTGCTATAACTGCTGGGACAGACTGAGGGGAGAAGGTGACAGTGGTGCTGGAGGTAGCAGTGGCAGCAGCACCTGTGGGAAGAAAGCGAGTGCAAGAAGGCAGTGCAATGAGAGTCTGGGCGTGCAGGAAAAGTAGCAGCACCTCTAGTAATCTGCTGGGGATGGAGTAACTGAGAAGGATGCATGGAAACTCATTTGCTAGAATTGATAGCAGTTTATCCACGTAGTGTGTGAGCAAATAGTGGGGCAACAATCCCTTTTCCTTAAAAAATGCAGTGTATTTTTAAAGTACACTCTTAACTGCTCCTTAATTACACCTAGCCTGAGATTAAGGATTGGAAAAGTGCTTATCTTGAGAACAGTGCAGTCACAAACCTTTCATTGCCATTCCACCAATGAGAATTAGGAAGTTTTAACACTTACTCACTGATTTTCTGGAGTACTTCACAAGGCGATTGCCACGTGACCCGCTCCAAGTTTAGGAATCCTGTTGAAAACCACTCTGAGAGCATGTTCTTTAGAACACCACTCATTTCCTGCAAACAGGGGAAAAAAAAAAAAAAGAAAAAAGAAAAGTAAGCCAGGAAAGAACACAAAAATGTGAGAAAAATCATTAAGAACTACAACACTGGGAAGTTCAAGGAAAACAATGCATGTGTTCAAGATTAAAGGCCTAGCAGCTCAGCTTTCAGGACTAAAACAATGAAAACGTTTACAGAGAATTAATTTACTGTCAGTACTGAGCTACAGATAGGGAAACTGATGTTAATGCAAAACAGCATAGGGAAAAAGCAGACAATAAGTAGAAGCACTTGAGAAATCTTGACAGTAAAGCAGCAGTTGCATAGACGCTCAGATACATTATTTGTTTCTTGCTATTTAAATCAATGGGAAGCGATGAAAATAAGGATTTGAAATTCAATCTAATTTTCTACCTCTGAATCCTCTCTGAGTATTCAAGACATTCGTGCCTCAAAGATTACTGTAGTAGATTCAATAGCAGTGGAGTGGCACATACCCACTCGGGATAATGAAATGGGAAATGCACACCTTGGAACACGATGCAGTAACACCATCGGCTTCACAGAACTCTCTTTTAACTTTTGTATAAAGGAACATTTTTCAGCAAGAGAAACAAAAGCAGCAGCATAAGATGACAAAGCTCAAAAACGGCAGCAGATTTGGAACAGTACGACACCGAAATTAAAGTCAACAGTAATGGCAAATACTTTCAGAAGCATTCATCATCATAATGAATTTCCTATTCCACACTAATTTCCTGCTGCCTATTTTATTAAAGATTTTCCTAACTGAAATTCTTTATTTGAGTTTGCAAAGTCTTCTTTAACTCAGCACAGCATGAACATTCCTTAAAGAGATTCTAAAGTTATTTTTCTTTCTTATATTTGTTTTGCATATAGGACACAGCATGATGCTAGCACCAACTTAACAACAGCCTGAAAAGAACTGTAGGCTTACCTGAAACTAGCTTCATAACCACTCATTTAAAACCAAAAGCTGCTCACTTTCTATTCAGACCTTTATCAAATAGCCACTGTTGTAGATTAAAAACATATAGATACAAAATTATGCTACAGTGCACTTTAGCTTGCCACATCTAGCTAAAACAACAGGACAAAAAGTAGAAACCTACCTAGAAATTAACACTTCCTACTTAAAACATTTTACCAAAGCTTAGCTGTAGTCCCACTACTTTCCTATGAAAGCAAAACTAGTACCAAAATTATGAGAGAAAGTAACATCAGCTGTTTGTTGTTAACCAAAGCTGGTTTCAGCATTTCAGTGAGGTGCTATAAGAAGTAACATTTTCAAACCCAGACTGCCTGCAGCCAATTGAGATTAGATATTTCAGTTTACCCCAAGTCCTCCTGCTAGAATTAAATACACTCTTCCCACAAAAACTCCTAAAGCAAAGTTGGTGCCATTGACCACAGTTGTGGATTTCGCAAGGTAAATTCATAGCAAATCCTGGCTCTATTCCACATAGAAAAGGTCAATTTTTCCTTACAGAAGAGCTTTGGTTTTTCTTTGTCATTCCATTTCATTTTAGATTTACTAATTTCTTTTAGTGAGTTACAGAGGCTTCAGTTTGACAAATATTTTTGTCTGTGCAGGTGAACCACCTGGAAGAAAAGTACCATTCATCTGCACAGAACAATTCTGTTGCGCACAGAAATTTAATGCTACCTTTCTATGATATTTTTCAGTAACATCCTCAAAAATATCAGAAAAGAAGAGCTTGCTTATTGAAGCATAAATTGATGCGTACTGCAAATACTGAAAATGTCAGTTGTGTTGTTCCAAACACAGGGAATATCCATTAACTCTTCCATAAGGTCACATCTCCAAATCTGTGTAAATTATTTCTTTATTGGTCTTTCTCAGCAGAGCTGCCTTTATGTTATAGAATACACTTGCTAGATGAGCTGAAAGTCTTTCAAAACTGTTTTTCCACCTGCACTTGTACCACAAGGCTGTACATGCTAGTAAAAAGTGAATACAAAACTGAAATAACGTACATAAAATTTACCTTCACATTTATTTGTAAGGTAAGCAAACTGGAAGCTGTGTAATGCAAGTCATCAGCATACAGATAAAACATACGTGGCTGTTGGCAGCACATCCCTCTGAAGACCTGAGAGAACTGAGGACCACATTAAAGAAAACCCATTCTGTAACAGACACATCTAATCTATACCAGCAAACTGGACAATTCTTCCAGGCTACCAAATTTAAGAGCAAACAGCAGGTAAAGCAGGCAGCAGAGCCCCAAACAGCCTGAGTAGCAGCAGCTACAAGAAGGGCTCCTTTAGGAAGGTACACAGGAACTGAGCAGGGAACAGAGCAGGTACCAGCCCACACCTCCACAAGGACTCTGCATCAGCAAGAGTTCTAATGGGAGAAGCTGAATTCTCTTCTGTTTGGACATTTTTTCACATGATGGTGTGAGTGCCCTCAACAAGTGTACTCTTACTCTTGTTCCTTGTGGTTCCAAGGATTCCCTCATGAATCCTTGTTTCTGTCCAGCTCTGAAGTTTATCAAAAATAATCGTATATCATTTTGGTCAAACATCCTTCATTGTAGAGATGTAGAATTGTTTTCTAAGGGCACAGCACAGGCTGGTAAATTAAGCCAGAGTTGTCAGAGTTAGGGTCACGCTAACAGAACCCTACAGCTCTCGTCACCCATCTGCTTTTTGGAAAGCCAATGCCATTTCAAGCTGCAGTCTAGCAGCTAGCAGGGAAAATGCTGATGCTGACCCTGCTGTCATTGAGTCGCCCACAGATGTGGTGGGAGAAAGGCAGCTGTGCTACACAGAAACTTTCACAAGTCAAAAACATGGAATCGGCTGCATTTTGCCTCCTGAAGCAGCTACAAGTTTAGTGAGCATGCTCTATAGGATGGGATATCATGATGTCTAACTGGACTGGAAGCTACTTTCCAAAATGCAGAACAGTATTACAGAGCTACTTCAGGTCCAAGACACAGTGGTATAAAAGCCATGGAACTCTAACAGAGAAGAAGGTGAAGCTGATGGTGCCTTTGGTAATGACTTCAGTAGACAGGTATATTATTTATGGGGAACTGTCACTCAACACACATCATCTGTAGGTTTTAAATAATAATGCCTCGTAAAGTAACAGAATGGCACACAGCTGGAACTGTGCATGTTAACACAATTTCTTTGTGGAGAAAAACAAAAGTTGTAGGTGCTGTAAAACTGATTGAAGTCATGCGAGCAAAACACTGAGCTGTGCTGAATGCCATAATGTTCACTAAGCCTCTGAAAGGTTTGATTCCAGTAATAACATTCTTAAGTCAGGTTCTCTTATTTCATATATTTAGTGGTAAATTAATTCATATTTTCATTTCAGAGGCCTTTCCAAACATAACATTTTAGCCAAAGCTCCTTAAAATAAGAATAAAAAAGAAATCACCTTTATTAATGAGCAGCCAAATCTTAGATACGAGCAACCAGACATACAGTAGTGTGAAAAATTACCAGCTGTACTTTGGCTTCTACTGGCTGTGTATGATAAACTGTGATTTTGCTCAAAGACAGAAAAACAGAGGCTTTCTGATCTTTCTGAACATCAGGTCTGTGTTGGGCAACAGATGGGAAAACCCTTATGAAAAGCCTGATTCTCTTGTATTAACAGAACCTGCCTCTGATGAGGAAATTACTTCAATGAGGAAACAACTTCACCACCTCTACACATCATTTACCATAACATATTGAAGGAACACCAGCTATTAATGCTTTATAAACCAATACCTAAGAGTCCAAGCTGTTCCTGTGCTGATCCATTTTGGGAAATACAGGTATTTTATATTTACATCACACAGTGGTGGGTAATCCTTGTTTTAACAGGACTTTCAAACTGCAAAGTAAAATCTAAGGGCTCTCTAAGAACCCAAAAGCCAGTAGGCAGCATTTTAAAATCTCCTCCATCGTGACCATCTATTTCATTTTATTTCCACATTTCTTCAGTGCAGACACAAACAGCAATTATAAAATTCTTTTAGTAGTTTTGCTTTTATGTATGGTAGAACTTAAATCCATAGTAACTAAAGGCAGCTACAGAAGCCTTTAGACAGGTAAACACCAAACACTTCTTTCTTGCCTAGGAAAACTTTCAACTTCCAGTTGTTTCTCTAGATAAGGGCTTCTTAGATCTTTAAGGGAAACTGTTTCAATATTCGGAGTGCCAAGAAGGCAACTGTTTCATACAAGTGAACTGATATCCTAATCCACTGGGAGCCCTTGTCAATGAGGGAGCAGTTATTTCATGGAAACAGCCAACTTCAGCTCCTCCTACAGGTTGCTGCAAGAGGAAAGAACACTCAATTACAGAGCTTCTTTTATTTCCAGCAGACCAATACAAGAGCAACAAGTCTGCAGATATGCCTCAACTACTGCTTAATTGTGGAACCAGGTTTGCTTATAAATCAATTTGACAAAAATTCTTCCTTTTTCATTACTTTTTTTGCCAGCAACTTGAACTTTCAACTTTCTTTTGCCTAAATCGTATGGAAAGATAAATATCTGAAATGCAGCAGGTCAGTTCTTTGTTACATGGAATAATATTATGAAGTCTTCACTAGCAGCTGTATTTCAAATGCTGGAACTGGGGAAACAAGCAAAATATGACAACTTACAGGAAGGAGGAGCTGAGGTTGGAAAAGCAGTAATGCAGCTGAGAGGGTTCTGCACTGTAATGAGAGCTGAACTCAAAAAAACCCAAAAAAACCAGCATTTCATTAAATTTCACTCTGCGTGCTACAAGGGAGCTCATACAGAAAGCCAAGGCAAACCAGGGCTGCCTCAAGCTTCCATGGCTATATGCTATTTACTGCCAGCTCTCGTTTTAGAACGCATTACATCTGAACAACAGAACTGATGAACTGCAAAGAAGACCACAAGATACACAGAACTGAGCACAGCCACACCATGAAACCCAACGTTTCAAAAAACGTTTTCAGAAGATGTAACAGAATATTTATGACAGCCTTTTTATTGAAGCTTTCGTTCCACAGATGACATTACCCTACTTTCAAATGGGTTATGTTTGATGTCATACTGTATTATTTGATGTGTGTGCTTTACAAAATTCCATTGTGTTGATTTTGCAGATTCAGTCTGTTGTTGCTTGAGATGATTCAGCTAGAGGCACAGTGTTACCAATTGTCACTACACTGGCCATATGTAAGGATCATGTTTAATATACTAATATGTGGGAATACAAGAAAAACTGTCCAGAGCAGCAGCTGTGGAGCAAGATAAACAGCGTAAAAACTAAGGACACCTCTAGAAAAAGAAAGAATTTCTCAGGGCTCTGACTGGATAAGCATCTGTGTGAATGGTTGAAGAGTGTTCTGTAGAATGCTCTGTTGACATGTATAATTAGAGTAGTGCTTAACAATAAAGCAGACTAATAGCTTTTAACCACATTGGTGTGCTATTGTGTCTCCAGTCCTGGGAGTCCAGAGAGTTCCCCACACGTATAATAAATATATAATATAGTTTTTCTAGCAAATTTAGGAACTCAGCACTGACATTAAGTCATCCCATTTTTATCAAACTTAACTTGGATCTGAACACTGAAGGGTTTTAGAATCACAGAATGACTTGGGTTGGAAAGGACCTCAAAGTTCACCATCTCCTGCTGCAGACAGGGTTGCCTAGTACTAAATCAGGCACCTGGTCAGGTCGCCTATAGCCCTATCCAACCTGGCTTTGAGTTGCCTAACTCACCGTCCTTCTCTCAAACAGAATCTTTGCACCATGCCCTGGCAGCCCTGCCCCTACACGTCATTCTGCGAGCTCCTGACAGCAATGACAGCCACATCTTCAGCTCCCTACGTCACTCCACATCAGGGCCATCTCATTAGGGTACGCGGCCAGGCCGCACACCCTCCCCCCCGTGCCCTGACCGTCTTCTGGACCCCCGCCCTCACCTTGACGTGAGGCCCATCCACCTCCTTGCTCGCCAGCCCCTCCACCAGGTCTCCCCTCAGCTCCACCAGGAAGCGCAGCCCTCCCTCCAGGCGGCCCAGGTGCTGGAACAGCCCCCGGTACCGCGGGTTCAGGTAGTAACGCAGCCGGTCCTCGGCCTGCAGCAGGGCTCCCAGCTCCCTCTGCTGTTCCCGGGCCTGCAGCACTTTGGCGCTGAACTCCGCCACCCGCCCGTGATCCACGCCGAAGTCGCGGGCCAGACGAGCGAGGAGCTCAGCGCGGGGCGGCCCGGCCAGGCCGCGGTAATACCGCATGAACTCCGCGCCGCGCAGCTCGGCCGGCGGCGGCGCCTTCTCCTTGGTCTCGTAGGGCGGCAGCGGCGGCACGGAACGGCTCAGCAGCTCCTCCATGGCTACGTCGGAGGCGGCGCGGAGCAGCCCCCGCGGCACCGCCTGGGACTGGCGCAGGAGGAGCCGCGAGTGCGGAACCAGACGACTCATCCCGCGCCCCGCCGCCCACCGCGGCCTCTGCCTGGGCCAGGCCGCGGCACCGCCCCCGGAGCGGCATTGGGCGTGCTGATTGGCTGGCATCGCGGACCCGCCAATCAGAAGCGAGAAGGGGAAGTGCGGGAGAGTGTGGAGCGGCGTGAGAGGCGCTGCGCCGCCATCATGAGTGTGGCGGGAGCGAAAACGTGTCGTTGGACTGTTCCTTCACCGTCCTTCCTTGCACAATGCTTTTATCTTCCTCAGTGAGCGTTCCTCCAAGCATCTGCTGTGCGACTCAGTTATTCCTGGACCTTTCTCACCTGCCACTACCATTTCCTGCTCGCTGCCGCCCAGCAGCTAGCTGTACTGGAGCTCCCAATAAAGCTTCATGGTGAGCCCGTGGCCCTGACAGACAGACTTTGTTTGGCATCATGGATTATATGCTGTTTTAAGGCTGATGGCATCCAAAACAGTTTCTGCCTATAGCCACTAGGAGGTTTACCCTGTTTGGGCTCCTGGATGCCTGCCTGCTGCCAGCTGGACTGACTGGGCAGTGTGGGTAAAGAGGTTATTTCCCAGTCCCACCAAGTTCAGTCTGAAATAAGTCCAGGAAATTGCACAGATTTGATGGTGTAATCTGATGATGTGTTCCTGCAAGCAGCGTGCCCTTTGGAGCCTGTCAAAAGCCTCTGGTGATGGGTCTGAAGTCCTGTGCATGCTGCAGGACTATTGGTGAACAAAGCTGAACACATGTGCTCTCTGGTTTCTATAGATCCAGACTTACAAAGATGATTTTTTTGTCCTTTTGACACCCCATGTACTCTGTGCTTACTATTATTACATGCCCATGACACCAAGCAAAGTACACAGGTCAGAGTGATAGCAGTGAGATTAACATCGAGCAGCAGTTGTCTCCACTTTGGGAATCGCAAGGAATTATTGATTCTCTGCAGCTGAAGTAAGATTTAAGAACAGATCCAGGCCCTCTTCACCACCGAATAGAGCAGTGAGGAAACAGCACTACTGCTGGTTTGTTATCTAATTAAAAATTTCCAGAGCAATGTTAGAGCTCCTGGCAAAAAAAAAAAAAAAAAAGCAATGTCAGCAGTGTAGCACTGGGGAACTGTGGGTCATAAGATAAGCTTAGAAAGCCTGAAGGGAGGGAAACATGACTCAGAAACATTAAAATATATGAAAAAAATAGTTAAAAAATTAAATTCCAGGGGCAATGAATTACATTTCAGAACTTCCCTTAACAACTTTGTAACTTCGTTTTCAGCAAAAGTAAAAACTCTCAAAAGTTGGCTGGTTTGTCCTGCTCCACCTCTGAAACCTGTCAAAGCCTGCTTCTGTGCAAGGTTCACGTACTAACATGGATGATAAGTCTTCACCAGATAACATGATGACATTTGAACATGCAGTGTTTATAAACAGCAGTGCTGCAGTTTCAAGTGGCTGTTAGTTAAACAAGACTGTTTTCTGTCTGAAAAATCAAAATAAAGCTTTATTCTGCAGTGCTCCATAATGATGTGAGCAAGTTTGGTTTTTTGTCATGTTGGATAGTTAGAAATAGAACTTTTTCTTCTTTATCCTTAACAGTTTTCTTTAAGGTGATGTATTTGTTAGGTACATGTTCATATAATAAACCATTTTACAAGCTTTGATGCAGATTTAGTCAATGAAAGCCTAAAATCTATGTCAGAAGCCTACTTGAGCCTAGATGGTCTATCTGGCTGTTGTGGTAAATGCACATCAGCTCTCAAAACAGCGTTACAAAATGGTTGCTTCTGACTCAGCATGAAGGAGCTTACAAAAATGTGAGGAAGCCTTACGCACCTGTTCAGTTTCTGCATGATTCAGTGATTGCTGGAAAATTCAAGAAGCTCAAGAACAAAATGCTGGGAGGGGATGGAAGCTGAAGGTTTATCACCTTCCAGGAAACAGGCAGCATTTCTCAGATCAAGAACAGAATTTCTGCTTTTTTGAAGTCTTACACAGAAATCCTTTTTATTCTTTTCATTTTGACAGTCCTCTCAGATTGGCTTTGGTTATTTTTCTTGAAATAACATAGTTGTCTTGCATAAGCCACAGGCCACAAAAACCAGTTACCTATGTTGTTCATCTGCAAGAAAAAAAGCATTGTGATGTAAGTTATAAGGCTTTCAGAAGTGAGAAATTCCTTTCAAAATCTTTTACCGCTTCTTTTTGTTCCCTAGGGGAAAAAAAATCAGCCGCTTCAGCTGCTGTTTCAGAACCGAAAATGACTCTGTGTTGTGGACCTGAGGGCATGAAGAGACCTTAATGGTTCTGACCAGCTTCACCCAGCGCCTTCTCTCACACCCTCCCATGGACCTGGGAGCCCCGTTTTCACTTAGCCTGGCTTTCAGTCCTCTTCTGAGCTATGCTTTAGGAGTGTGGGTCTCCATTTCCACCAGAGCTCTGCCCCTGGGCCTTCCTAATCTGCAGCTGCAGACCTGCTTCCACCATGGATCTGCTATTAATGTTCTGTGCCTGACTCTGGCTGCTGTCGTGGTGCCTGATTCTGACTCTCTGGTTTTACCTTGCTCCGTGGATTTACATGATGATCCAAACTATCGACTGAACCTGGCTGCTAACAAAGCCTGCCTTGATGGTGGTGAGGCTCTTCCTGTTCTCAGCTCCATGCCATGTACAGCGTGGCCAACCCTTGCTGCTCTGAGATCTTGCCTTCCTTCAAATAACAAAGACTTTGCTAAACTTGGGATGCTTGGAGATGAATTTACAATATTCTTATGAAGAGAAGATTTTTTCTTTTTGACTTAGTTGAAAATTGAATACTACTATCGGAAAGCTGGAGATTGAAAGAGACTAATTATGCTTCAGTAATTGTAACTTTTGTCTCCAAGCAAAAAGAGAAGCATATAAAAGATGGTAAGTCGATCTGATCTACTTTTTTTCTTTCTTTCTTTTGAATCAGTTCAAATGTTAAGCAAAAATAAAGAAGATAGCCTGGATTCTCTGCTCAATAATTCCTCTGTAATTAAGATATGTGTGTGTAAGCATACGTAGGATAGAAAGAATAGAAGGAACTCCCATTAACTTCAAAGGAAGGAAAATGGAAACAAAGCCTGTGTTTGTAGCTGTTCATCATAGGGAGATTTACAGAAAAACAGAAGCCCACACTTCTGCCATAAGACTCTTGTGACATTTACTCTTGTATGTAATAACCATGCATATGCACAAGATTTTTTTTTCTTAGCATAGCTCTTGAATTAATATTTTTTAATATCTGCTAGATCGTATTAAAAGCATCTAACTAGTTGTTTTATTGAAAAAAAAATAGCTATTTTCAGTTTGATATTAAGGAAGAAGCTAACAGATGATGATAAAAGGCCTCTTTCCCTGTTTTTCCTTCAAGGTTGGTGAATTAGCAGTGCTTACAGTGTCATAACGCTGTGGCAAGCTGTGTTGCAAGCTCTAAATGAGTTTGGTAATGGCTTTGGAAAGAGTTTGTAAAATGACTTTAAATGAGAGAGAGTCCTATTTTGAAGATTTCATAAATCTCAGAGGGTATTATTGGAAGAAAATCTGCTGTAGTTACTTAGCAAAAAAAAAAAAAAAGAAAAAAAAAAACAGAAAAAACATACACACAAAAAAAATATTTTTATACTTGGCCTTCAATTATTTAGGCCCTCCAGACAGGCAATTCTATATGGCAGTTCTGGGGTTTGTTTTGTTACAACTCCCAAAACTCTCTGTTGAAAATTGGATAGAAATGTTCAATTGCCAGAGCTATAGCAGTGTTTAGCTTTAATCTTAATTTTAAATAAATATGATATTGTTTTATTGAATTATCTGGGTTTAAACACACGAGGCTTGTACGCAGAGGCTGCAGACTAAATTCTATGCTCTCAAGTGAACAAATCTGTTGAAGCTTCATTGTAAGTCTAGCTGGGTTCAGTGTTTTCATTCCTGATTCTCCAGATCTTCAAATACTTGCTTAATTTGCCGGCAGTGAGCACTTCACTAGGTAACGAAATGAAGGACTGAACAGGTTAGGTATCTGCCTTTATGAACTGATCACAGCAATGCTTGTTTCAAGTGATTAAGCTGCCTGAAATGATGATTATGAAGTTAAGGATTTTTTATAGCTGACTGAAGATTCAGATCTTACTAGTACTATCAGTTTTAAGAATATTTATAACTGTCAGTAGACAGTACATTTCTGCGTTTCTCAGACTCGGTTTTGCTTTCTTTAGAAAAAGGAAAGGAAATACTCCTGATTCTAAGGAATGTCTTCAGGATTTCAGTCCACAGTTAACACAAACGTAGTACTTTCATTTTCAGCTGTGGGTATTAAGTCCACTGTTGGAAGTTGCTAACATACATGTGAACCTTGACTTGCTTTGTTGTTTGATGCTTGATTATGCTCTTACACAAACTCATTTACTGGATTCTGTACTTGCTTCATAGTAGTTGCCCCAGAGCATTGTAATTAGTGTGGAAGTTGGCACCATAAAACCTTC